ACATGAGTGTTAACTAGATAACAGCGGTACCTTTGATGTTGTAAAGAAGAGTTTACACCCACCTGCTATGACCGCGGGATTGCTCTGCCCTCCCTCTGCCTTCACCCAAAGCTCCAGGCTGAACGTGGCCCTCGGAAGCTCCACTCCCGCCGGCAGCTTCACCTTCAGTTGTTCCCGACGCCCGTTGAAGTACAGGGCTGTCATCCAGGACGGGGGCACTCTCGGTACAGGGCTCCCCCAGGTGTCTCCCTCTTGCACCTCGTCAGAGTAGTCCTCCGTGACGCTTTCGGGGGTTGCTGTGGAGGACTGGTCTTCATCTCCCTGCTGGAGCCTTTGGAGGACCCGGAGCCCCCTGGAATCCGTGGAGCTGAACGGGGCGACTTTCTCCCAGCTGGAGTTGCCCTCTTCTTCGTAGCGAAACGTCCCGTGGAGGCTGCGGGTGAACCTGGAGCGGGGGTCGCGAGGAGCGCGCGCGGAAGACACGGCGTCTTTGAGGACAGACTGTCCACCGCTCGCGCCGACTTCATTCTGCTCCCTCTGGTTGTCCGTGGAGCTTCCGGGCGACCCGAAATATTCGCCCCCCTCTCTCCCCGCCACTATCTCGGCGTCTCCCCGGCCTCCCTTCTCCTCCTCCCCCGCAGGAGCGAACCCTCGCGCCCCGGCTTCCAACCCGCAGCCTCCTGCACAGACCGCACGAGCGCTCTTAACAGTGTACAGCTCTCTCCGGCTCGTGTGCGTCCTCGTGCGGGCCGCTGGAGGGCGTTGTTGGGTCGGGGAGTGAGAGCTGGGCTGCCGCCGGGACCTCCACACACCGGAGACGGCGCAGGGTTCACCTGCCAGCCTGGACAGCTCACGGTCTGCCTGCCGGGCCAAGGAACGTTTGTAGAGGCTCAGCGCATTGGAGCGAAGCAGCCACGTGTTAGCGATGAAGACGAGGAAGACAGCCAGTAGTCTGATCAACAACATTTTCTCGGGTTAAGCGTTTGGCCGATGTATAAAAGGAGATTTCAGCCTTTTTTATTTTTACTATTTTTAACAAAGGAATCTCACACAGGCTGAGATTAGAGAAATCTGCGCATTTTTTCACAAGCAACACAAAAAATAGCTGTTTTTTCTGTCTTTTTTGTTTTGTTTTGATTATTTTTTTTAACTGTAATGAACCTACTTAAAAAACAAACAAAAACAAAAAAGCAATCAGATGAAAACATACATCAGTGCATCCCAAAGAGTTCGAGAGGACATTTAAAGTTTCTCACTCAAACTTGAGGGTTTTTAGAAGCTGTAGATTTGAAACAAAAGCAGGTGTTCAATATTGCTAAAGAATCACAGCAAAAATTCAGAGTTTTTGCGAAGTGAAGCTAAATCGCACACGTGTGCACTTTGCGCAGACACTTAGTGGGGACGCGTTGCCCCCTTTCCCGTGCGTGTCCGCAGTATATCTGCAGCCTCTGACTCTTTATTTCATCTTAGAGGGAAAAGAGCATACACCTAACTATCTGTGCAAGCCTTTCACAAAGCCCACGAGGTAAAGAAACACCGGTCTGATTTAGTATGTTAGAAATAATTATCAGCGCAAATGTTTGTTTTATGAAGAAGTAAAATATGGGCACATTTGTCTAAATCATAAAATCATCTGATATCTGGTTTCCCTCTTTGCTCGAGACCTGCTGTTTCTGTTTACCTGACCACTGCGGCATCAGTTTAGTGCGTCCTGTTCCAAAAAAAAAGAGAAAAGAAACATCTGACCGCAAGGTGGATCGGAGTAAGCGCTGCAAAAGAGCGGAAAAAATAAAGCGCAGTGCAAAGTGCCAGCCCTAAAATAGCAAAAGCCCCACTTGTTGAGCGTCCCTATAAATTCTGTAAGAGGACGAATGTGTTAGTCCATCAGAGTCAATCAGAGTTCTGCGTCTGCGCTCGAACTTGCGCGTCTCTGTGCGCTCTTTGCTGCTGCTGCTGCTCCTCTCCACCGGTTTATGCAATTGTAGTAATATCCTCCTCCATTCACTCCTTCACCTCTCTCTCTCTCTCTCTCTCCCATTCTCCCGAGTCCAAAGGTTTTTATCAGGGAGCCCCTACCCCCCCTGACATCACCGGTAGGGGAAGTGTGGTGGTGGTGATGGAGGGGGAGGGGGAGGCGTCCTACCCTCTCCCTCACACTTGAGTTTTACAAGGGAAATCCTCTCCTCTCTTCTTCTGCTGCTGCGCTGTGCATCACTCTGATCCAGAGCTGAGAGAGGAAAAAGGCTGTAAAGTTTATTTATACATTTATTATTCTTGTCCTGACCTCATCCACCCATCCATCCATCATCACTGGCGGTGGGAGGAGTATCCTGGCCCTTTTACTCTAGTAAAGGTGGCAATGCAAGACTGCTGCTAAACATGCAAATAGGCCGGAGAAATCCCAACCAAACGGCAAATATAGTTCATGTGATGTCCTTCTAACCTTACAGGGTGCTCATGAATCCACTGCATTTGTTTGACACCAGAGGAACCAGCTTGTAAAAATTTGTTCTGCTACATGTGAGTAAAATTAGGCTCTCATCCTTCAAATGCCACCTCCATGGTGATTTACTTCAACCTGGGACTTGGAAGTCCCAATGCATGGGGTTAGTGTTATAGTCATTGGTAGGGGTTGGAACTGGGGTCATCACCGATGACGGCTTTGAACTAAGAGAGTTAAAGTGAGCTTAAAGTGAGGCGTGACGTCCTTCTCTATCTTGAAACATTTGTAATGTGGAGAATGGTCCAGGAAAAAAGTGCACTTGTGCGTGGGCAAGTGCACAAGCGCAACTTGCAAGTTTTAATACGTTATATTATACTATCTTATGCTATAATATTACACAATGTTTATTTACATTATGATATTCACAAGTCTGCAGTGAATTACTGTGTAAACTGGTGTCAGATTGAGTAGAAAACAATCGCAGCATAAGCTACAGTATAGGATTTGTTGTCCATGTCTTCTTAATGGGACTCTGTAACCTGGCAAAGGATGAATGATGGTGGCTGGGATGGGGGAGGAGAAGTGTTTTCTCCCTATGACCCTCCCTCACTCTCTTTCTTTCCCCCTCTCTCTCTCACACACATGCATTACCCCTAAACGAAATAGGTAAAGTTTGAGTAACCTTCTCTCTTCCTTTTCCTTCTTCCCTCCCGCCCGCCCTCCCTCCCTCCCTCACCCATTCTCCTGCAGTCTCACTCACACTCTGGCTCTCTTCACTGGTGCAGCACAGACAGGCACAACATCTGTCCTGCACGTGAAAAAGGTTGTTTTCTTTGTCTGTTTTTTTACCATCCAAATATGCTACCTGCTTTGTGCTGAACTCTTGTGCTCGTGTGGGCCAAGGCTGAAAAAAGGGGGTTAGGCAGAGAGGAAGAAATGAAACCAAGGTGGATGATGGCGAAACAATGCAATGCACACAGATTCGTCCGTTTGTAGGCGCCCAGTGAAAAGCTGTGTGCATCTGCATACATGCAGACATATACTTGCATAGTGAAGTGTTACAACAGCAAAAAAATACATTTTACTATCTTTTGATACTGTTTTTATGCAAAAATGACAAAATATTACTGAAGGTCCAGCGGATTGTTTTGTTTTTTGTTTTTTTTGTAATTTCCATTATCAGGAGCAGTCTGTCCTCTGAAGGAAGGAAGGGCTGTGGTTGAAGTCTCACAAAAGCAAATGAAAGGCCCCTTTAATGGTCAATTTTCTTTCAACCTCAATATTCACCCTGTTTGTTTTCTCCCTGCCTTTCGAGCTCGTGCATGTAAGCGTGTTTCGGGCAGAAACTCAGTAATGCTACTAGCAAACAAACAGAAAACATGCGTTTAAAGTGTTGCAGGTCTCCTTAAATTCTTTGTCGTTTCCGAGCCAGCTCTGAAGCTGATCGTACATTGATGAATATCTCGAGCCATGATGAATACCTTGCAAATGGGAAGATAGCTTTTGGCATCTTGTGCAGGCCGTCTAAGTCAAAAGACAGGTGTCCTCACTGAAATGTTTCCAGAAGCTGCAAACAAAATCTATACTGATAGAAGTGATATTTCCCCAGACGAGTTTAAAGTCTTGAAACTGCACACTGTGTTTTATGAATAAGTCATTATTTATCTTTTAAGTAGTCATTAAATCTTTAATAATAAACCCACAAAAAAAGGCCTCCTGTAGTCCACTTTTTTGTTGTTCCACACCTTCTAAAGTGTTGCCTCCTTCTTTCAGGCCCTGCTATTTTACTTTTTTTGTGAGGCTCAATTTGCCAACAGGGCCCTGGCTCAAGGTTGGAGATGGAAATGGAGGAGGAGGGGGAGGCCACCGGCAGTTATGGCAGGGGCCCCTGAAGGGGCAAAAAACGGTCCTAAAGAGTGGGAGGCAGGAATTCCACAAACGCAGCCTGCTAAACATTCAGCTTTCTCTGCTGCAGAAGTGCCCTTTGAAATCCAGCTGCAACTGCATTCGGAGGAAGAGGGGGACAAGAGAAATCAGAGGAGGAGGGGGGAGGGGGTCTTTAAATTTCCAACAAAAACAGAGGATGGAGGAGAAGAGGCAGAAGAGAAAGAGAGGAAGAGAGCCAAAGAAGGGAGTGGGGTGTCTGGTAGAGCGTCTGAAAGGGGGTGCTCCTCCGGGGCCTCACCCCCCACTGTAAGGAACCTCCACCGATTATCCTTCATCTCAGCTTGTCCGTCTTGACCCCACCGACCCCGAGGCTAGCTCCGTGTCCCCTTCCCCTTGTGCTCTCTTTTCTACACACACACACAACCTGGATCCTCATGCAAAAAAAAAGAAAAAGGAAGAGGGGGGGGCCCAATGGGAGAAAATCCAGGCTGATGCGGAGGACAAATGAGAAGGGGGAAGAATGAAGAAAAGAGTGCTTTTCACCACCACTGGTGTGAAATAGAAGTGGGGCAGGGAGATGTGCCGAGGGGGAAGACACATGAAGCACGGTGTGTGGACAGTGCTGCAGGTGTTTCACTCCAAGGATTCAGGATTCAGCAGTGAGGGCGTTCAAATCAACAGCTGCCACATTTGGGCAACATTTGCTTCGTTGCTTGAAAGCTTCACACTTTCATTGCCCTTTTTTTTCTTCTTTCAAATCATATTTTCTACCGATCTGTAAAGTGAAAAAAGTGACACAAGTTTCCTCTTTTTGGAGCTTTTGTGAAAACTGCATCGCTGCTGATATTAGCACAGTGACTTTCCATTGGCTTCTTCTAAACTCAGCATGATTCCCCGCCTGCATGCAGCACAGAGGAAGCCCCTTTAACACGGTGGTCCCCTCTCAGAGGAACTCATTTGCTCTTCGACGTACTCAGTAACTTTCCTCTAGCTGGAAAAAAACGTACTCTCCATCCTAACTGAGCTCCATAATGAAACATATAAACTTCTTTCCGCAAACAAAAACATGGGAAAATCCAATGTCGTGCGTGCCTACGTGGAGGACCCCTTATTTGCACACATGGAGGTAAAAATGGAAAAATCAAGTAGCAGGCTGGAGAAACTGTGAGCGTGAATATGTTAGTGCTCCTCGGGTTCTGTTTGCAAAGCTGCAGGTGGATGCCTGAATGACACGATGCTGTTTGTGTTGGCTCGGGCCCTAGCTGCACTTTGTGGATGTGACCTACCTGCTTGATTTTTTTTTTTTTAAATGTAAAAAGGCAATCTGGAAAGTATGACAAGCACGGGAGCCACTGTGCAGGTATTTCTTAAATAGAGACATCTGTGGTGCCGCAGATACACGTCTGATTCTTGAGATGTACTTACCTCTTAACTTAAAAGTGAATTCTGAGGCAGTATTCACGTGTTAAACAACTGAATCTGTGTTCTATCACAGTTACCCACTTTTATTCAGTAGCGGATGCTGATTACACAAAACTCTTCATTTGGTCCTCTTGTTATGGATTTTTATATGTGGCAACATTTTTAGATGTGTTTATCATTTCAACTGGACTGAAAATGTCAGTGTCCTCTGAGGGAAGCTAACATCTGCAGTACATTTTAGAAAAAAATAATGTAAAAATGTTTTTCAATTATAAATTTCGTTCATACAGCGCCAAATTACAACAACAGTCGCCTCAAGGCGCCTTATAGTGTAAGGTAGACTTTAAAGTATACATACAGAGAAACCCCCAACAATCCTACGACACCCTATGAGCAAGCACTTTGGTGACAGTGGGAAGGAAAAACTCCCTTTTAACAGGAAGAAACCTCCAGCAGATCCAGGCTCAGGGAGGGGCGGGGCCATCTGCTGTGATTGGTTGGGGTGAGAGAGGAAGACAGGATAAAGACATGCTGTGGAAGCTGTTTGTAAAGTACACTTTTCTACCACTCCACACTATTACATCCCTCAGGTATACAGATTACTTATAGATGCACATAGCCTGTTCAGTCCAAGTGTGCGATATTTTTAAATCCCAGTCTTATAGTATATATATTTTCAAGATTTGTGTCATTAAATATCATGATAAGTCTTTAATCTTGAATCTAGAACTGCAGATGACAAAAATGCATACATGCAATATGTGTCCCTGTCTGACGTTCTTTTGTCGTTTGTGTGTTAACTAGCTGCCCCACTAACTTTCATGGCTACATGTTGTTAGTTGAGTTTATGAACTGGACGTTGTCATCTTATTATATTTCTCCAATAAATCAATGAATCTCTGTGAACATGTCCACCTGTTCATCGAATTTTCTTCAAAGCTTCCGTGGACGTTATCTCACAACCTCCTTGCGTGATTTGAGCTATAGTTATAAATTATAGCGATTTATAAAAAAGTTATAAAAAAGCTAGTAATTCTAGCTTCAGCCGAGATAACTGTGTTTCGCACACACTGTTTAAAGGGGTTACAAAAATAGAAAGAAAACAAGGAAATAAAACAGCACACATGTTTAAAAGTTCATAAATAAAGTCATTTTTTTCTGCTGAATTACTATAACTAGACTTTACAATGTAGTACAGAACATGTAATAATAATAATAATAATAATAATAATATAATCACATCGCAAAAAGTATTTTACAGAGTAACATAACATAGCATGAAGTGAAATGAACCATCTCCTTTTCCCAGTGCTGTTATTAACACTGAGAAAAGTCCCTGTGTTAAATACGAGGATATAATTCAGCACTGCTACATTGACCCCCAATAAACATTTATGTCTGTTTTTCATAGCATGGGTCATAGGATTATATCCTTTATGATACTACTTAAACGTACAAATGATGTAAGCATTAAAACAGTTATAGAGACTAAGATTCCCTGAAGTGTACATTTCCACCAGCGCGGTTTAACTCCTTCTCGCTAGGGGGCGGTAGTTTAAAACTAGGAGGTTTGCGGCTACCCGAGTAATCGAGGAAACTCAAGAGATTTCTCTCTGTTGCTAACAGTAGCTAGCCGGATAATCTTCTGAACAGTGCAGCCGTTCTTATTTAGTTGGCCGTTAGTGTTCGTGTCTGTTTTTCTCTTTAGATTCCAGCGCTCTTGGAATTCGCTGCTAGTGACAAACGTTGAACCAGACAACGACGGCCAACCTTTTTTTTCTCTCCGCTGGATGTTTGGCTATTCTTGTATTTCTCCCAGGATGTTAGCACATAAGCAAACCAGCTAGCTAGCAAATCTGCTAAAGTAGCCAAATAGCTGCTCTTTCCGGATGCTTTGAATAGCAACGCAGCGGATTTGGGGAGTTTCTAGTCGGCCTTGTATGATGTCAAGCAACCGGCCACAGCAAAGCGCTGCTGGGGCGAGTTCAGTGCCCAGCACAAGTAGCAGCAGCAGCAGTAGTACAGGAGGCACTGGGAATACAAACGGTGGCGGTGGCAGCAGCGCTCCCACAAGTAATGGGAGCACTTCTGGAAATGTTGTGCCCTCACGGACCCTTGCAGCGGCCGGAGAGGGCGGCCTGTCAGTGCCAACTCTGGCCGCCGTGCCGTCAGCCCGGGGCGGCTTAGCTTCTCTCAGCAGACCGTCTGCGTCCTCTGGTAACAGAAAGAGATCCCTGCACCAGGCACCACTGTACAACGGTCTCTTGAATTCATACGAAGATAAAAGCAACGACTTCGTCTGGTTAGTTTTGTATTGCACTCGAGCTTTGGGGTGAGTTCCGTAAAAGTTTGAGAGCTGCACGATGACCCGGGCTTCTGCTTGTTTTTCAGTCCCATTTGCTTCGAAATGATAGACGAGGCACACATGACGAAGTGCGGGCACAGTTTTTGGTGAGTGTTTGTGTTGTAGAGAGAATTATGCACAGTGTCCCAAATGCTGTAGAGCAACAAATGTCACAGACTGAAGGAACCAAGTTATCTTTAAGAAAAGCCATGCACTCTGCGGGCATCCATACTTACAGCTGATTACTTAAAAAAAACTTTTGACAGTTTTTATTTATTTATGGTTTAGTATTTTAGTTCTTGCATTTTGTTTTATTTTTTGGGCATGTTTTAATGTTACAGATGGACTTCTAGAGGAAGTTCCAAATAGTCCTGTGTTGCTATATTTTAATGACAATAACAACATCAAACCCTTGACAATCCAAGTTTTGCACACCAGGCAAGCCTCACTTCTGCTCTGGTCAGACCCAAGAGTTTTTCTGACTCGAAATCTTGCAAAGGCAAGATTGGTTAAAGCAGTGAGTCTGTTTGGTGTACATTTCTGCCTTTTAGTTTGGAGTTTAATAAGTAAAAGCAAGCTCAGGGTTAAAACATGTCCAACTAATTTATAATCCTGCTAATTTTCCTTTAGAGGAGGCCACCAATATTGTTTTGTATTCAAGGCGAAAATGAACCCTGAATTCAACTTTTCACTAATGTGGAAAACCTGTAAAGGCTTTCTGTTTGTTTTGCACAGAGAATTAATCAGGATTCATTAGGCTAACATCAAAAAAGTAAGCACAATGCCTATTGCCACCAGAATAAGTAAAATCTACTGGAAAGAGTGTTATTTTTGGCAAAAATCCTAGTTATTTTGATCGATAATGAAATGACAGATATTTAATTTCTAAAATAGAAGAGACTTATATTTTATTTAAGCACATTTTCTTTTAATTATAGAAAGTAAATGATTGAACTAAGTCATCCACACTGCATTTTGATAAGAAGCAAAAAGGAAAAGGTTGTGCTGAAAGTCAAAGTAAGGGAATTACTGCACAACAGATTCTGGCACAGAGGTCACTTCATCTCGGTTATGTTGTTTCAATGACAAGATGAGCCAAACTTGAATTTAAAGCACAGCTCTATAATACACACAGTGACAGTGTGACTTTCGGTATTAAACTGCAAAGTTGGTTGTAAAATATGAACTAGTTTTTAATGACAGTAAATGGTTTAAAGCTGAATATAAGCCTGTAGACTCTTCAGCAAAGTTATGGGAAGCTTAACGTGATTACTGGTAATCCACAGTTGGCTCAGTGTTCTTTATGCCTGTTGTGTTTGCTTGCAGTAATTCTCATTTCTTGTTTTTCAATGCTCATAATAAACATGACCAAAGATCCAAGTAATAAGATCAGCGCATTAGCAAGTTATGCCTCAGTTTGAGATAGTTTGTCTACTCTCTGGTGATGTCGGTGTGAGCAGATGTCCTTAACAGGATCAGAGCGCTGGCTTTGAAGGTCACATATAATCAGAAGAAGACCCAGTATGGGATGAATAAAGATTATTTTGACTATGAATCGTTTAAAGCTAAACTTGTAAGATCTTGGATTGAAATGTGGAGCTGGATATATCCGTCATATTTATCTGTTCTCTCTCTCTCCATCCTGCAGTTTCAAGTGTATCCGCCAGAGTCTGGAGGACAGCAACAGATGTCCCAAGTGTAACTATATTATCGATAACGTGGATCAGGTCTACCCAAACTTTCTTGGTGGGTATTTGGAATTGGAGCGTTTTTTGTTTTGTTATGTTTTGGGTTTTTTCTAACAGTCAGCTGATCAGCTCCTAAACTAATCATTTGTCTCAAAGCTTTTCATTTTAACTTGGACATTAAAATGTAGCTGTTATGGCAATTTTGCACTTCATGGTTTTTAAAATCACAATATTTGAATTGATTTGTCTTTGCTCATAATCGGTACTAAAATGAGACTTTCGTATTTGAATGAAGTCAAAATTGAAAGTTTTGTGTCATAAATGGGCCAAACAAAAATCTAAGGAAACACTTTGTAGGTATTTAAATGCATGATGATAAAGATGCCACTTTTCTTTTATTCATCACAAGTAAAATGTCTCTGCAGACGTGTTGCTCCTTACCTGTGACAATGTCTTTTTCTTTGTCATATACTTACTCCACCGCTTCTCCCCTCTTATTTATCCCTTGTCTACAACTTCCTCTGTCCCGCCTCACCACATCCCAGTAAATGAACTGATCCTTAAACAAAAACAGAGGTCAGAAGAGAAGAGGCTAAAGTTAGATCATCCAGTGAGTACAGCATGTTCTGAAACTGATTTAATTTTTTCTCTCCTTGTTAAGATGTTGAGCATCTTAAAAACATGTTTTGTTACTTGTAACTGATCAGTGTCTCTGACCTTCAGAATGGGTCTCGGTGGCAGGTCTTCCAGGATGTTTTGAGTCCTGACCAGGAGAACTTGGACCTGGCAAATGTCAACCTGATGCTCGAGCTGCTGCTTCAGAAGAAGAAGCAGCTGGAAGCGGTAAGTGAGAGGCTGATCTGTGCATTTCTTTGTTTTTGTTTCGCTTTTTTAGCTCTTTAGCTTTTCATGGGTTTCAGTGGAGGGTTTTTTTTTATTTAAAATGATGTAAAGTTTGTTAATAGCCATTAATTAATAATTAATGGCTATTAAGTCTTATCATGAAACTGATCACATGATCAGAGCTTGTAGATATAGATCTTGTAGGTTTCAGTGAAAAATGCACAAGATGCAGTGAAGAGACAGAATTACAAAGGGTTAATTATTTCAGCACTGTACTGGTCTGT